CGGGGACCGTGCCTCTGGACTGGCAGACCGGGGTAGTGGTCCCTCTTTTTAAGAAGGGGGACCGGAGGGTGTGTTCCAACTATAGGGGGATCACACTCCTCAGCCTCCCCGGGAAAGTCTATGCCAGGGTACTGGAGAGGAGAATTCGACCGATAGTCGAACCTCGGATTCAGGAGGAAAAATGCTGCCCCCGCGACCCGGTCCCGGATAAGCGGAGGAAAATGGATGGATGGATGGATGTCACACGCATCATCAGAGAGTTAGCCAGGTTAGCTAACAGCTAGCTACCTGTTAGCACCGGGGGCCACCGTGACAGCGTGTGAAAGCTAGAAAGATGATGACAGAACAAGGAGAAACGAGTAAAATGATTAAAATGATCCTAGTCACACTTATTTATGAATGACGGTGGTGTAAAATAGAAAGTAGGTGACCAGGTGTAGGGAGCTTGTGACAAATCTGAAAGGCAGCTGGTATGTTTACATTCTACTTTGAGCTTCTAGTCTTTCAGGAATATTTCTCTTCCAGCGTGCACTGCCCTTGGCAAAGCAGCCCGCTGTCCATAAGTGTAAGAAGTACTCAGATACTTAAGTAAAAGTAGTAATAGCCTACCACAGTGTAGAAATACTCTGTCGCAAATCAGAGTCCTGCATTCAAGTATTAGAATCAAAATATACTTAATGTTGTTAATACACATCAGTAGGGAATTGGATGAAATTAATCCTTTGTCCAAACAGTCATTTTAGGTTAGTGTGTTGGAAACCAGAATGATGCTGAATCTTGTTCTGTGTCCTTCACTGAGCATTGGCATTGATTTGTTTATCACTTCTGTTCCTCTGTTGATGCAGTTTGTCTGTTTGACATTTCAGTGGATTTTTGAGACTTTTTTCTTAGAAATGATAATATTACAAACTATTTTACTATGTCACATTACTATATACATATTATTTCAAACTTCAACCTTTTTTAATGAAAGGCCATCACTGTCTGAATTTTTCCATCTGAGCCAGGATCCACACAATCAGGCACTTTGCCTTTGTCTCTCAGGTGACAGCCTTTCAGCTAAAGATCATGATGAATAGTGGCTAAAATTAGATTATTACATGCACTTCATAAAACTCAAAGTACAAAAGGCTCAAAGTCAAATGTTTGGAAGTGAAAACAGAAGACTCCTCTTTGTGTCTTCTTTTTCTCTCTCGTTTCAGGCTGGCCTTTGAGTTCATTTTCATACCCTCACTCCTTGGTTGTGTGATCAATGAGGACCATACATGCGGTTTTTGGAGTTTGCACCACAGCAGCTGCAGTTGACTAATTAACCAAATAGACCTGGTTCAGTGTTACTCGATCAATCGCTGCAGTGTGAGCTGCAGGCCGGTCCGTGCACATCTCTTGGCTGCAGTTCACTGGTCTCAAACATAGACTGTACTGTATTCAAAGATGGACAACACGTCACCACGTCCTGCCACTATGCAAAAGTGAAGCCAAAATATCACAGATACGGGGGCGGCCATTTTGCTTTTGTGATGCATTTAGTAACAAGATGGGGAGCCGTGGCATCAGGAACCCAATCAAAGCTGTCAATCATCTGAAATACACCACTTTTTTAATATAAAATAACTTATCAGAAAAACAACCACTTGTGCACACATCAGCATAATAACACAAACCTAAATTGACAGAAATAACCTTTGGGAAAAGTTTGAGTTGTACTTTGAGTTTTTATCTTCTTGTCCCATCCCCTAGCTAGGTGTACCTAATAACCTGACAGCTGAATGTATTTTGCAGTAGTTTTTATGCTGTGTATTACTTTTGTTTGTGACATAATAAACTATTCAAGATATTTCTTTGAGTTCCTGTCAATGTCTCTTTGTCTTCACTTTTACATACAACTTTCTCTTCTAAACCATGAGTTGACATTCTCCATGCGACCTACCTGTACATCTGTACTAGACAACTAAATCTACATAAACTAGGCCGCTCCTTTGATAAAAGATAGTGGTGGGAAGCTTCAACAAAGTGTTTCAAGTTGCATCTTATCATGCTGTTGATCTCTGTGTTTACACTCTGCTAAGTCTTGCAACATGCTGAACCAAGTCATCTAAAAGCTGTGTTCATCTTTCCTGGATTTTGTTGAAATGACTTTTTTATTTTTCTCTATTCACAGAAGTGAGCCATGGCTGAACCAAGCTCCTCCTGTCCCCAAAGGAAGATGTCCACCGCTGGGGAGAGCATGTACAAGGTGTTAGGGCTGGAGAAAGGAGCCTCAGCTGAGGACATCAAGGGAGCATACAGGTAAGCAGTGTGAACCTTCAGTAATCTCAGGTAGTGAGGTGTCTCAGGTTGCAATATTAGTTTCTCCAGAGATAGGGGGCTCACCATGCTGTGATTACTACTTTAGATGGTTCCCAAATCCTTGGCTTAAATTTGTCAGATCACATTCCTGATTATGTTTGTGGCTGTTGCACATTTGTCTGCGTAACTGGAGATTACTCAGGTGTACTGAGGGACATTTCCTTACCAGTCATGCTATTGTGAAAAGAACATAGTTGTCTATGCAAGATGAGACAAGCTGTGAATGTGTGCCATACACTTATTAAAATAGCATTACAATTAATGGATTATCACAATAGTAATATAAGCCCCGGAGCTTTCCCTGGGGAGCAGGAACCTTTCGTGGAACTTAGTCCTGCTACTTGGGTTTCCACCAGGAAACCAGTAGTTCTGCCATCCACAAACAGTCTCTTGTCAGGAGGGTAGTATTTTCTGAAGGTCCAAGTACTGTCAGGATGAGGTCTGCAGTGCTGAACGTTGCTGGTTGGTACTGCTTGGTCAAATACAGCACAGCGTTTTACACCTGGCATTCATTTGTAAAACCCTGCTGCTGACCAGAGCACTTTGCATACATCAGCAGGCTTATTTGTTTTATCTTTCCGGGGCTTCGGCCCTGCTGTGGAAATCCAAATCACAATGCACTCGAGGGACTTTTACCCCAGGGACCATTCTTGGAAAAGTACCAGGAACTTTCCAGTTGAAATGCACCTTCAGTCTGCAACAAATTATTTTCATTATAAATTAACCTGTTGATGGTCTATAAAATGTGAATTAAAACTATCAAGGAAATCTACATTTCTATCAAAATACTAATTTCATCAAAATAAAAAAAACATCTAACACTTGAAAATATGCTGCCCCATAAGGAAACAAGTCCTCATAGTCGAGAGGCTGAAAGTTGGTAAAATTGTTTGCCTGTAAAAATGACTAAATTAATACAATTAACTGTGAAAATAGTTGTCATTCTAGCAACTAATTGTTTAATTTCCACATCCAATTACTAGAAATTAACCTATAATAGTTTAGTAAAGAAGACGATCGATTTGGAGGTTCTGGACTTTGCGATGACGGAGGGTTATAAGGTCGTCCATGTAGCCTTATGAACCTGACACCAGAGTTGGAACCTTGCAACATGTCTGTTTGAATAGACAGGAACTAGATGACTGTAGTTTGTTAATGGATAGTGAATAATTAATTGTTAAGTGAAGATAAAAATGTCAGAGTTGGCCTGTCGTCTTGATCATGTTTCCTGATGGCTTCCTGTGTCCTTGTCCGGTCTCTCCTGTCAGAAAACTAAGACTGAAGTACCACCCGGATAAGAATCCAGACAACCCGGAGGCAGCAGAGAAGTTTAAGGAGATTAACAACGCCATCTCTATTTTACTTGATGAGACCAAGAGGAAGATTTATGATGAGTATGGCTCCATGGGCCTTTATGTGTCCGGACAGTTCGAAGAGGAAAGCGTCGAATGGTGGTATAAGGTCTGTGTTTATATTTGTGTTTACTCTGTATGGATTTTTTTTAATAAAATACTCCTCCAAGTTATTTATTAAAATGCATTTAACCCTTTTGAGTTACTCA